TCTCGTTGTTCCCTCGTAATTCAATTAACACAATTACAATATCTCCTCAAAATGAATTAAAGTCATTTAATAGAAATCCACATTCATCTCCTAAACTCTTGTCTTCCCAAAATTCTAAAAGAAAATCTATTATTTCACCTCAATTACTTACAATTGAAAAAGAAAGTCAATCACTAACAAATTCTATAAAAGAAATGATAGGAATTAGTATCAATAGGAATAATGATGAAACAGATATTTGGGAGAAGGTTTATTTGTTTTCTTTAAATAATAATATTTATATTTTTATTTCATTGAAAATAATAATTAACAAATTAGATGCTTTTAAGTTGTGATGTTGGTATTACAAGTGCAGTTATTCAATATCTAGAACGACAAGAATTAACTCAAGATGAAAAAGAAATAAATTCAATAATGTTATTTAACTTCTTTAATGAACATAATAAATTAACAGAATTAATTAACTTTTGTATAGAAAGAGATATTTATTTAAAATATGATGATTTAAATACATATTCACCATATGTAACATTATATAAATGTATGTTAGGATATACTCAAAAATATTATTTTTCTCAATTCTCTGCCTTTTATCAAAAAAAAGCAACTAAAATGAAAGACACTTCAGTTTGTTTTTTTTTATTCTTTAATTAATTATATATATTAAAATTTGAAATTCATTTGACTAACATAAAATAATATTCATATTATTAGTTAGATGATTGTCAATCATCAAAAACAGTAAAAAATATGGTTGCGTTTAAATCAATTTTAGAAGATATTGTTTCTCTTATGACTGATGATTCTATTGTTCCTATTTATATTAAATATACATGGTCTACAATTTATAAATTATTATATAAAACTAATCCTGACATAGTAATGAAATATATGTATTTAAATATGTTTCTTATTCCTTTTAATGATATAATTGAAGAGTTAATGAAAGTTATTTCATCACAACATTTAAACACATTATTAAATGTCTCAAAATGTTTTCATGAAATAATTTCTCCTTCAAATAAAACACTTCCTTATCCGTTTTGGAAAGAATGGATTGCAACAAAATGTATTGATTTAAAAACGAAACTTAATAATTATATCATTCAAATTTCTGTTTGTTTCAATATTCTTTTTTTATTATGAATATTCATTACATTCTTCTTATTATTTTAGAAATTTTATTGTGATGAATCAGATGTTATAATGGATCTTCCTCAAAATCTTGTTATTCCACTTATTGATTATCTTAAAACTGACTGGGAAAGTTTATATGGATATCTTTCTGAAGAGGGATATCGAATGATTGAACTTCGTATGACTTCTCAACTAGAAATGAAACAAAGAGTTTTGTCTCTTGTTCATCAAATTAATCAACTACGAGTAAGTACTTTTAATGAAAATCAAATGTATCTTCAAAAAATGTCTGAAATGAAAATGAGAATGAAAGATCTTCAAGAAGAAAGAAGATATTTAAGACAAATTCTTTATCCAGAAGAAAGTGAAACAATATCTATTGAAGAAGATAAAGATTTATCTACTCATTCTTAATTTAAAAAAAAAGAAGTAAAACAATAAAATACAAATTTAAACAAATGAACAAAAAAAAGGAAATATTTTATGACAAATAATTGAATTACATCATTTTTTTATAAAGAAATTATGTAAATTGTTTTATCTTTGTTTTTTTTTTGTTCTAATATATTCTTTTTATTATTCTTTAAGAATATAAATATTTAAATACTTCAAAATCAATAACACCTCCACATTGTTTCATAATATTCCTTACTGTTTCTTGAGTTTCAAAAGGAGTATGAAGAATATTAAAATATCTTTCCATTTCCATTCTATCAATTAAACCACTACCATCAATATCAACTAATTCATATAAAACCATTAACATATGATCTTTTGTAATTTCACCCACCTTTTGAAAAATCAAATAAATGATT